AATTTAAATGTATTCTTAGAAAACACTTTGTGTGTACATATATTTACTGTATCTTTTTTTTCCTTTTATTTACACAAAGAGCGTTGCATTAAAAATTATTTTTAAGTTTTTAAGCTGAACAATGGGATGATAAGCTATATTTTAGAAACACACACACACACACACACACCCCACCCCTACACTGTAGCATTTAGCACCATACAGCACCATAGAGCCTTCTATGTTTTTCCTCCAGTAGCTTATGGTACTTTACCGTTTTCTTGGTTCTCTGGCTAGTTTTTATGCTGGGCTCTCCTGTCCTACTTGAGTGCAGGTTGTAAGCCAGGAACTGTATTCTGACAGTGATACACTGAGGATACAACAGTAAACATGATTCATTCCACACGTTGTTCATAAAGTATCTACTCCACGACAGTCGTTCATACAAACAATGGTTCCTACCCTCATAGAGCATAAAGTGGAGCCAGTAGATGTGTCCAAGCTTCTTTCCCACCTCCCCTGCTCTCTCGTGACTGCAGATGAATCCCAAACTGGATCTCTAATCTGAGCTCTTTTTCAAACTCCATTTCTGTAGTTGCAAGTGCTTTGTGAACATGGCTAGATCTCCTAGTTCCTCAGATTCAGCATGTTAAAAACTCAAATCATTATTCCTCTCAATCCTGCCCTACCTTCTGTGTTTCTAATTTTAATGACCTTGGCATCATGACAGTCACCCAGGTACCAAATGTTAGTCTCACCTTTGACTTGTTCCTGTATACCACATTCAACAGGTTGCCAAATTCTGTTGATTTCTGCAGGTTCCCTTGAAATTATGCACTCTCCTCCATTCTCACCTTCTGCCTGAGTTGATAACCTGGCTACTGGTCTGCTGCAGCAGACTTCTAAGAAGTACCCAGAAGTGGTAAAACGGATATTGAGGCTAAATATGGCTAGCAGACATTTTATTTGGCCAGCCAGACATCTTTCAGCAGTTTAATTTCAGTGCCTTTGGGCAGAGCTTACACACTTCAGTTCTTGCCCCAGTACTCATTTTTTTGTTTTCTGGGGTGGGGGGTTTTGGTGGCTGGCCAGCACAGGGAACTAAACCTTTGACCTTGGTGTCACAAGGTCATGCGTTAACCAACTGGGCTAACCAGCCAGCCCCCCAGTACTCGTTTCAGGTGACCTTCATTAGACATTTATTTTCTCTGCCTGGCTCCTGAAGGCATTTGAGTGTGCGATCCCACTTCATTCTATGCATTGTAGTCCTATTAACCTTCTTAAAGCAATATATCTTGCCCTCTGCTCAGTTATCATTGGCTCCATTGCCTGCCATACTCCTTTATCATGCACTTAAAAGCCCATCTCAGTCCAGATGAACCTGTCCTTCCCACCTTATCATCCATTACCCTCCTGTACCTACCTTGCTGTCCCACCAAACCAATCCCAGTTCTGGGCCTCTGCTCACACTATGCCTTTTACTTGGAATGCCTTTCTTACCACATGTCTCTATGCTGTACTCTTGCCTGTCCTGCAAGTCTCAGTTTTATTGCCACCTGGTCCAAATGTCTCCCCAGTAGTACCCAGGTCCTCTGATTAATGCTGGGAATAAAATAAATATTTTTAAAACATTGGCTATTATTATGTCTTCTTTATTTTATCTTAACACACCTTTGGAAAATATCCACTTTTTGTATAATATACATGAAATAATAGTAATAGTAGTATATACATATAGTTTATAAGGTATATTGAAGATGCTCAAATATTTCACTATTGGGCATATGTAATAAATGTTTGGGGACCATTAACTAAGAGGATGGCAGAGATCTAAGTATTCCCAAATATAATGTGAAGTTCCCAAAAAAAATTATTTATGAAAAAAAATAGGAAATCACCTTAAATTCCTGTCCTTTTAAAGTCTATCATGTAAGGATGTGCCCTCTCATTTACTTTATTTTGAGCAACCATATTTTTTTTAGAAAGACTTTGAAATATCTCAAAATGTCTTAAGTCCATGCTAATTTGGAATCATTAACAGGGAGACAAATAAATTTAACACAGCTGTAGTCATTATTCCTGGGGTCTGACCTCACAATCGAAAGTATTAGATATATACTGTATTTATAAACAAGCTTTTTATACATCACTAAAAATAAAAAGGCAAAACAGTGTGGTTATAGAGATAAAGAAAATACAGATAGAAGAGAATGAAAAAAAAAAAAAACAAAAAAAACCTGTGCTGATATTACACAAATGAGTATTTGTGGCTTGAGAGTCTATTTCCTGTGACATCGGTGGCCTCATGCAGAAGAGTACTAGCCGTGGTATGAGTCTGGCCTAGGGCTGTCCCAGGAAAAGGTGCCTTTTCCTAGTCATACAAAGGCATCTAATGGGCTGGGTAGGGCCCTAGAGACAGGACTATCAGCATTCAAACAACTTGGGTAAAAATGATGTGCACTGGAAATCAGTGCTAGATGCCCCACTAAGACATGGATATTGAGGATATTGACTATCCATGTGAAGACTTAGAATTCAATTGTTTCATAAAATGAGAGTGGGAAAGAGTAAAATTTTCTAAATTGACATTTTCAAATAATATTTTATTTTAAATATATATATGTAACTAATATGTTAAATATTGTAATAGTCATTTATTACACTGAACTATATTTCTAAGTTTTTATATTTTAAGGTTAGCCAAATACTTTTCTTTCTAGTTCTTCTTATGAAAATGGGGGAGTCCCTAAAATTTGAGGTGACTTTATATTGGTGCATTTTTAGATCTTTGGGTTTTTG